TTATTTATAAATATTTTTATAACATTAAGTTTTTTAATTTAAAAATCTTGAAAATAAAATCAATTTCTTCAATTGGTAATTTTTTATTTTAAAAAATAAACTCCTACTATAAAGCTTGATAGATTATTTATTTGCCAATTCATCTCAATTAATATTAATCACTGTAATTAATACGTCTCGCCTAATGCCAGATACATATGTGTAAAGTATGCATTAAAATAAAATTAATAATCTCGCTCTCGGATAGATTAGTCTTCTACATACTTCCACTGTATGCTACTTGTTTAATGACTTGCTCGAAACTTTCGTAATCCACTTGATAACCATAAACCATAGACTATTATTTTTATTTTTATTGATACTAGACGACAGAGGTGAGAAGCTAATAGATACTATAGTAATTTTGGAATAAGAAGAAGCCACGAGTGGAGGTAGATCAATTAGTCTTGATTTAAATTAGCAGCGGCGGGTGGTAATTAACTTTAGTTTAGGTCGCGAGAACGATCCTCATCTGACGTTATATTATATAGATATATACAGATATATATTTATGAGCGAAGGATGGAGAGGACGGACCCGGTCGATTTAATGCGCAACGCCGTTAATAATTACGATAATTAATATTACGAGCGACTGGGAAAATGCGTTGGCCCGTTTATTATAATCAAACTCCTCCTCTTCTTCATCTTAATTTCATCATTCTATTATCATTTATTATTGTTATATTTTTTTATTTTATTGCCGATGGATTAATTTCCGTTATATCAATGAAAAAAAAATATATAAGTCAACTGTTAATTCATTCCCGATTTTTTTTCATATTATTTATTTATAATCTATATTATTTAGAGAATAAGACAAATTTTGTATATATCTTGTAAATTATTGACATTTTTAAAGATATAAGTTCATCCCGATGTTACACTCATCGAGACCTTTCATTTGAGTACCCACATCAATTTTTCATATATTTTATATATTTATATATATATGTATATATGAAAAATATATCAAAAATGCATGTGGGTACTCAAATGAAAGCTCTTGATGAGTGTAACATCGGGATGGGCTAATATCTTTAAAAACGTCAATATTGAAGAAAGTACCGTGCAATTTAACAAAAGTCATTATTTAATAAAGCAAAATTTTATTTATTTATAATTCACAAATCACGACAGTTACATAGTGACTGCAAGGTTGCTTGTTTTATAATTATAAGTCACTTGTAGAATTTTTTAAAATTAGACACCGAATTTTTGAAATTTTTTTAATAATTCAAATTATTTTAAATAAAGCATAAAAAATTTGTATTAAAAAAAATTTTTATGTTTTAAAAAAATTCACAAGTTTTAATTAAGTTAATTAAAAATTTGAACTGAAACTTCTTCAGTTTTATTTTTTAGCTGTTGAATTTTGTCGACTGAGAGACAGGATATTTTGATTTGCTAGCAATGTGCAGTGTATACATATTGTATGTTGTTGGTGAGTATGACTGGTGCCCGCAAGTGTTACTTTGGCATTCACCTAAGTCTCTCTGACGTTAATCTGGTCTTGTGCTCTCTGTACTGTGTAGCTCGGCTTACACTAGTACGAGAGGGTGAAAAAGAAAAAAATTGAAAAAACAGTTTAAAATACGAAAAATCAGACAAACGAGCTCCGAGAATCCTCACACTTATGGATGCACTCAGTGTATAGGTAACATACGCTAATGACCCTTGTCCAGTGACTCTCAACTCTAAAAATTCACTTTTGCTAATTATTTTACATAACAGGAAATTTATATTTTTTTTCTTAATTAACAGCTGTTGCAAAATAGTTTGTAAATACATTTTGTTTTGTGAGTTTACTTATGCAGTTAAATTGCATCCGGTACGAAAACAATTAATAGTTGTGATACTTATTTGTAAATCTAAGAAGTTTTGTTCATTAACTCGAACTTCTGAAAACTTTACAAACATTTGATTAATAAATTCACAATTTGTGTTGTTTGATGTTAAAGAAATAAACTTTTAGCGTTTTATTTTAAAATTAAAATTTTTTTAGAGTAAAAAAAAAATATATGATCGTTCAAAAAAAATTCTAAGGTTCATTTTATTCGATTTAAATCTAAAAAATTACTTTATAATTAAACAAAAAATAAAAATTTAGTAATTTTTATCTCTAAAGTTGATTAAAAAAATCAATTATTAAAAATCATTCATAAAAAAAATGCTAATATTTGTAACAAGTCAGTCACACTTTTATACAGAAGGTCTAGGGTTCGAATCCCGGGCCGGTAAAAATGAAGTAATAAATATTAAATACCTTTAAACTTCTTTTTTTTTTTTTTTTTTTTTTTTAATCTAAAGAAGCATTATTGCAGTCTTAAAAACTGTCACAATTTTTTGTAATAATTTCTACAAAGTATAACTAAAATATTTTGCAATCGTAAAAATAAAATAAACAATAAAAGTGATTTTTATCAATAAAAATTGAAATAATTTACGACAAGTATAATTTACAATGTTAATTTATTAACTAAAAAGTTTACGGTAACAAATGTAGTTTAAGTCTTTATCAATCATTCTTTAGACGGTAAATTCCTCTTTGGGTTTGAATTCGCGGCACTTAAAGCGTTTCATAATGGGTTGCAGCGTCGCAACGGAACCCTTTTGTAATTAAGACGTTACTTTATGGTCGTGCTTGAAGGCATAAGTGTAGCCCACGCGGATGAATATGCTTTGGATGGAAGAAAATATGCTTGTATACACTCACACTTACACATAGGTGTAATGGCGGGTATAAACACTGCACAACAGAGGACAACAACGTGGATGCAAAGAGAGAAAAGAAGAGAGTGCTGGTATGTATATATGATGTGAGTAGATATAGAGTGACTGGAGACAAGACTGCTCGGGGAACAAAAACCAGGAAAAAAGGAGAAAGTCGTGAGCAAAGAGGGATAGAAATGAAAATAAAAAAAAATAAACAGCGGTGGGAAGGGATGTGGACCGCATCATGATCTCCATGAGCCATGAGGAAGCTAAGGAGAAGCGTGACGAAGAGGCGAGAGTAATCCAAGGTAAACATACGCCGGGTACTTTGCCAGAGTAGAGACCAGGAATGAGCCAGGCTTTACTTGTTATGTTATTATTGTACATATATGTATGTGTAATGTGTATTTTAAAAATTTTTTTACTCTTATTTTTGAGAGGTGCAGGCTCTCGTTTCTCTACATGTAATGTTACGTATATTAGGTGTCTCTACCTCGTCTTTATGAATGCTCGGGTATCTTTAACAAACGATGTACCTCTACAGAAGATACCGCGTGTGAATATACGCTTGTACTGTCACCTTAAACCTAGAGCCCGCAGTTTCGTGTGTAATGTGTAATTAAAATTATAATTCGCGGGTTTGTTTGTGGAACTTTTTTCAGCTCCAGTTATTTAAATTAATTAATTTAAATGTGAGTAGTAGGATTTTTGGAGATAATTATGGGATTGTTGGAATTTTTAATTGGTGTGGTCGTAATAGAACTCTTTGAATTTTTTAAGTACAGTAAAATTAATTCATACTAGCAACCTTGCAGTCACTATGTGACTGCCGTAACTTGTGAACTATAAATAAATAAAATTCTGCTTTATTAAATATTGACTTTTGTTAAATTGCACTGTACTTTCTTAAATATTGACGTTTTTAAAGATGTAAGATCATTCCGATGATACACTCATCAAGAGCTTTCATTTGAGTACCCACATGCATTTTTGATATATTTTTCATATATACATATATGTAATATATATAAATATATGAAAAATTGATGTGGGTACTCAAATGAAAGGTTTCGATGAGTGTAACATCGGGATGAGCTTAGATCTTTAAAAATGTCAATAGTTCACAAGGTATTTGTTAAATTGCACTGTACTTTCTTAACTATTGACTTTTTTGAAAATATAAGCTCATCTCGGTGTTAAACTCATCAAGAGCTTTCATTTGAGTACCCACATGCATTTTGATATATTTTTCATATATACATATATGTAATATATATAATATATGAAAAATTGATGTGAGTATCTACAAATGAAATCTCGATGAATACATATATATGATATATATAAATATATGAAAAATTGATGTGGGTACTCAAATGAAAGGTTTCGATGAGTGTAACATCGGGATGAGCTTAGATCTTTAAAAATGTCAATAGTTCACAAGGTATTTGTTAAATTGCACTGTACTTTCTTAACTATTGACTTTTTTGAAAATATAAGCTCATCTCGGTGTTAAACTCATCAAGAGCTTTCATTTGAGTACCCACATGCATTTTGATATATTTTTCATATATACATATATGTAATATATATAAATATATGAAAAATTGATGTGAGTACTCAAATGAAAGGTCTCGATAAGAGGAACATCGAGATGAGCTTATATCTTTAAAAATATCAATAGTTTACGAGATACAAGGTCATTTCTTAATTATGTATCTAGAGATAGAGCATTTTCGAATGAGTCTAACTATAATAAATTGACTATCGGTGAGAATGATATGAAACCTTGAAAAGGACACAAAATTTTTCTTATTCTCTTAATAATGTAGATTTTTTAAAAGTTTTGTTTTAAACCCAGAAATGTATTCGTTCAAATTTTAAGCCAAGAAATTTTTTTTTCATATACTGAAGACTTGAATTTAATAAATTTTAAAATATACATGCGGGATTAAATTTTAATATCAAAATGTAAAAATTTTAGTATCAAACGATTAAAAATTATCTAACAACACGTGTTTTTATATACGTCATAGCTCACATTTGATAATTGTTTTTTAACGATTCGACACTAAACAACTTTTTTATACCTACTCTAGGCAATTATTTTCATGATTTTATAACAAAAAAGGCCATTAATTTTATCGATATTTCATTTTTATTATTAGCTTACTTTTATATAAAAAAAATTGTTAGTTCGAACAAAAAATTCGTAAGAAATAAAACGTAGAAAATTTTATATAAAATTTTTATACAGTAAAAAAAATGGGAATAATTAATCTAGTAAGTAACATAATTTAAATTGATATTTTCACAATATTAATAATAATAATAATTAAATATTTCATTATCCGCAGTTGTTATTTATTTGCTTATTGGAAATGGTCGCGTCTGGTAACGAGAAAAATTTATTACCCGAAGATAAAAATGGGTTTGGATTACTCTCGTGGTACTCGAAACATGATCGCGTGTACTTGGATAATAATGGAGAACTTTGGTTATTATTGCCCTTTCAATACGATACCGAGGGTCAAGTTTATTCCGGCGAAAGAAACTTACTTACACGAACCCCGAATTTCATTGAGAACGGTACAGTGACTGTGGGTGAATCAACACGACCAAAAAGTAAGGTCCGTTTGGACGAGTTCGGATACTTGTGGATTAAGTTTCCTTATCATTTTTATCCAGATGCGAATCAAGCTCCGATAAGTGAACGAAAGCAAGTAGATAATTATCAAGCGAAGCCTATAAAACCTCATCATTTAATTGGCCACGGGTTTATTAGATGGAACGGCAATCAAAAAATTTATGGATACTTGATCGACGACGGTACAATGAGACTTGTTAATCCTCCATCAAATATATGAATAATTGTTGAAGTACTTTAAATTATTTGAGGAATAATAATTTCTTTTTTAATTAGTCAATTTTTGGGTTTATAAAAATTTTTTAAATAAAATTTATCAGTCAATAAAATTTTATGATCACATTTAAGTTTTTTGTTATTTTTAAAAAAAGTGTAAAAACAATTTCAAGAGTTTTTGAGTATAAATAAAATTTTTTAATGTAATTATCATTTTTTTGATCATTTTTTTATTAATTTAGAATTTTTAAGTATTTATTGCAAATTCTTGATTTTTTAAAATTATTAATAAAGAAATATTTGAAAAAGTTTTTTAATAATTTATTCGTTAATGTCAGGTGTTTGCACTGAAAAAAAAAATTCTTGACTGGAGGGTAAATTTTCTTGGCTCAAAAAAATATTAAAGAAGATTGAAAATTTCTTGAATTAAATCAAAGTTTCTTGAGCCAAAAAAATTTCTTCAGTTTTTCTTAAAATTTTTTTGGCGCAAAAAAATTAAACTAATAATTCCTTCAGGTTATGGGCCCAGATAATTTCTTCAATCCTCTAAATTAAAATACATGAAATTTTCTGTAAAATTATCCCATAAAAAACTAGATTGTGGCCAAAATTTTGCTAAAAAAACCTCTTAATAAATCACAAACCCTTTTAAGAAAAAAAATCCGCAAACAAACGTTTCTTAAAGCCAAAAAGTGTTTCGTCCAAAAATTGCTATTGGCCATTAGCCGGATGGGCCACTTGCCAGTAATGATGTCCTATCATCCCTAAACCTCTTGCAAAAAACCATTTCTTCTCAAAAAAAAATAATACTTTTCAATCGTAGCAATAAACAATTTCATCTATTTAAATAAAAATAAAAAAATGTGTCAGCAAAAAGAACGCCCCATTAAAAAACATTAAAATAAACACTATATCGATAAAAAAAAAAGATTATTTATGAATCAAAAGCCTCCCTTTCAATTTTACGAACCACAACACCAGAGTTATGATAAAGAATGGTAGGCAATCACCATAATGCGAATGTCTCACCATCCCTTGTATATCTCCGAGCATGTTAACTCTCTCATCCACACAATCCAGTTCATCTGAGTTTTATTGGAGCTGTATATACAGACGTAGACATAAACACATATATGAATATGAATATAACAGCATCTACATCCATCCATATATTTATAATACTTATATAGAAAAATATACGAGGGAGATTCTGGTTGGTGGTTAGGTTATGTCGGTGGGTTGTATTTTGTCAGAGTACATTGGCTTTCATGATAGAACGGATGCTGGTGTATAGACAGTGTAGTTATATTTCTTGAACGAGTGTGAGTGAGGGAACAAATTGTTGTCGAGAAGAGATTTTTCTGCGATGATTCAAGAGTAAAGGGGAATAGTAACAGTTGTAGAATAAAGTTGAGTGTTGAGGCGCCTTGCCGTCGTCTACAATTTTATTTTCCTTGTACATACACACCCACAAAGGATAATAAAAATAAATATGTAAGTATGTCTGTATGAAAATAGAATATGATGACTTGGCGATCGAACAATCGGCAGAGTAGCTATAGCTCTCTAAGGATAAATCTATTACTATTCGCCATTCTTCTAACATGTTACCTTATTTTAGATTTTATTACTTTCGGTGAAATATTTATCGTCCATATATTACTTAATACGTACTGCAGAGAACTCGGTAAACGTAATCTCGTAGATTAATGCTAGGCGTAATCCCAGTTCGGCAAATACCCATGGGCACGTGGTTACTCTAAGTTTGTTGAGTTGAAACTGCTACGATATAACTGTAACATAACAACTAGCCAGCACTCGATTTCTGTTATGTTGCTCGGTAATAAATTTCAATCTATGTATGAACCCACGGGTACATATTTGGACTGCAGTTGTGGAATATGTAGTTTTTTTGTTTCGAAGATTAATTACTGAAATTAGTTTCGCGGAATTCTGATTAATTAATGCTTTCTGAGTTTTAGATATTAAATTTAGATGAATATTTTTGGAGATAAATATTTCTAGTGATCGACACAAAAAAAATTTATTTATTTTTATTATATATTTTTTTAGAAAAATTAGTTATTAGCAGGAAATATTTATAATTTTTTTTTTAATTAATAATCAGTAAAACAAAATTTATAACTTTTAAGAAAATATTTGGTAATTATTTATAAGTCGGGCCCACCTTTTTAATTTTCATTTTTTTCGACGAAATTTCTATTTGATTTTATTGATATATTTTTTTTTACAGTACATAAAAAACAAAACATTTAAAAAAAAAAAGTTGATTATCAAAATTTTATTCAAAAATATGAAAGCCAAAATTTTTTCCAACAAAGAAGCTATTAAAATTTTTATTTTTTTCTTTCACGACATTTTTTATCATAAATGCGCCGTAAAAACAAGCAGAAAAAAAAATTAATAAATGTTAATTTTTCACCTAAATATGGCCAAAAATAGGGTGGACCCTACTTGTAAATAATTACGAAAAAAGTTAATTTTCTGACGATTTTTGGAAGTTAGAATAATTTTGAGCGACATCTAAGAAATTTTTTATCAAGCTGATTTTTGTAAAAATATTTTAAAAAATAATAAAATAACATAATTTTATAAGAAACTTGAAAAAGAAAAAAAATATAATTTTTTTTATGCTGCTCTAGTGTAAAATATTGACTAAAAGTTTGTTTAATTTTGTTAATAAAATACCAATCGTGCATAAATTATAAATAACTCAATATATTATAACCATATATTGGCAGGAAATTAATCAATGAAAAAGTTTGGACGTAAATATAAATTTATTGGTAATTAAAATGTATATTTACTATCGATATTAATTATCTAAGTCAACAAAACTTGTTCAATTTGTAGGTAAATAATTTGTCTGATGGAAAGTAAAAGAATAAAAGAAAATGATGAGCACGGTAGTTTACAGAATCGCGTGATTACTTTAACGGTAAATAGCTGGTACATGCTTACAACACAGTATCGCTGATAATTTATAAATTACAAGATTGATAGATAGATACTTTAAATATATAAGTTGATTTAATCGAAACAGTATTACCGTGTCCTGGACGTAATATATGTGCAGAGTGTTAATGTGTGTGTGGTTCGTGCTGGTTATATATATCTGTATAAATATTTAATCGAACGTTTGGCTCGTGGTTATTTCCTCAGTATCAACAGACTCATCTATCTTATATTACATTGGGATATCGTGTCATGCTCCTCTTTACAGATACGCCTCGTTAAATTATTCGCTTTGTAAATGAAATTACGAAACGAGTTAAAATAATATCGTTTAATCAACACGACATTATACCGACTACTGGGTTTAAATATTAATTATTCAATAATTAACTAATTAATTGAGTTTTACATTTTTTATCGAAATTCCAATCATGTGTTTTGTTAAAGTAAATTTAATGAACTTCGATAATTGAAACTAGCGAATTTAAACCCTGATTTATTGTTAAACTTTCTGATAGTTGTTTTTAAAGTAAAAAAACAATTATTTATTGTATTCCATTTTAATTAGACTTGAGCTGAACTTATGATTCAAAATAAATATGTTTAATTTGAGAGTAAATTTGTATTTTAATGTAAAAAACATTTGAGAAGTATATTGAAAGTAGATAAATGATATATTAAATTTTTGGAGAAGATATATTTTCAATAACTACCTTTTGGCCAATTTTTGATTGATGAAAAAAAAAATATACCTTAAATATTTTGAGATCATTAAGAATTTTAATGATATATTTGAAGTAGAATTAAATCTCATACGATGTAAATTAAAATTGGTTAAAAGTTGAATATTGAATATATATTTTTAAACAAATTTTATAAATTTTTCATAGAGAAATAATACAGAACGAAAAAAAATTAACTTGGTTCAAGAGAAAAACTCTTGAATGAACAAAATTATTTTGAAAATTTTCAAAGTTTTTAATTGAGAGCATAAATTCTCAAATCAAATAAAATTTATATAAATTAGCAACTTTGCAGTCACTATGTGACTGCCATGACTTGTAAACTATAAATAAAGAACATTTTGCTTTATTAAATAATGAATTTTGTTAAATTGCACTGTACTTTCTTAACTATTGGCGTTTTCAAGGATATAAGCTCATCCCGATGTTACACTTATCAAGAGCTTTCATTTGAGTACCCACATGTATTTTTATATATTTCTCATATATACATATATATAATATATATAAATATATGAAAAATTGATGTGGGTACTCAAATAAAAGGTCTCTATGAGTTTAATGTCGGGATGAGCTTATATCGTTAAAAATGTCAATAGTTCACTAGATACAAGGTCATTTCTTAATTATATATCTAAAGATAGAGCATTTTCGAAAGCAGCCTAAATATCATCATATATTGACTATCGCTGAGAATGATATGAAACCTTGAAAAGGCACAAATTCAAATCAAGACCTTTCATTCAAATTTATATTCAAGACCAAGATTCAAATTCTTTAAAATGACTTTCTTATTTTAAAATTTTTTCTTGAATCAAATCAATATTTTCAAAAGATCTTTTAAAAGTGTTTAATTATTTTGAATTAATTAGAAAAATTCTAGAACAAAAAATTTTTTTTAATCCAGAATTTTTCTTCAAAATAATTTTCTTGGTTCAAAATTTCCTTCTAAAATAAATTTGATTTTATAATCATTACTTAACAAAAATAATTAATTAAAATCTCTAAGACAACTTCAACTTCATAGAACTAAATTCAAAACCAGAGCTTACAAGTGATGATACTCGGAATAAATAAAGTTATCATCAAAATTTGCTTATGTATTTGTGTTTGATAAGGTCCTCGTTAATAAAAAAAAAGTACATATTAATCAATAACCGTGCAATCTCAATCAAATCGATATTAACATAACAACCGAATGGAGAAACAGAAACAATAAACCAACCAAAAAAACAGCGCGTGTTTTTTCACGAATACGAGCAAATAACAAACAACTAGACGTCGA